CCCCAAAACCCCAAAACCCCTCTTCCAGAATGTCATCAATAATTAAAAAAGTAATAAGTATAAATATACTTTCATTATAAGAATAAACTTCAGTCACTATTGTGTTTTTATATAAAATCACATATTTTTCTTCGATCATTTTTTCCAAAACTCCTCATAACTATTTGGGGTTTACATTTTGAGCTTTTTTGAGTCATTTGAGAGGACTTTGTGATGACTAGCCGCTCCAGCAGCTGTTTTTAGTTAATACTCTTGTAGTACTGAATTTTTTTCATTCTCTTCCAACTCGACCTAAAGCTATTCCTCAAGCTAAGCTGATGAATCATTTTAATTCATCTTAGTGAAGGAGTAGAACGTCATGTCTACACTTTACTTTTATAAGTCATCCTCATGCTACTGTAGTCTCCCTCTATCATTATTGGCTGTTTACATCTTTTTTAATTTCTGAGTTTAGCTATAATTCTACTATTCTTAATTTCGTTTCTGAGCTAGAGCTCTACTCATGCTATTGGTGCGGGAATGATGCTGATTTTAACCAGTGGAGTCTCTTTTATTGTATAGTAAGGCATTGCTCTTGTTCATTTCTTTATTCCTTGGAGAATTTTTCCTAGTGTTTTTGTCTGACTAGATTTGATTGCTTATCCTATTTAATGGTTTGAATTTTTTATGAATCGAGCTATCATTATTTTTTGAGTTGTTCTTAATGATTTTTTATGCTAAGGTCTAACTCACCTTTTGAGTTGTATTAAGTTTTTGCCAGTCAAAAGATTATAAGTTATCTTAAATTTCTGGGCTGTTTTAACTCAGCATTTCTTTTTTCTTGTGCTTATTATTAGAGCTTTTCCTGCTTTGAAGAGTAGTACTAAGCCTTTGAAGGTTTGCGGTTTAAAAGAAGTTCTTATTAGATTAGGAAAACTAGCTAGTTGGAGAAAAGAGTCTGTTCTAACTAGACTTCTTCAGAGAACTTCCAAGGTTTTAATTATCATCAATTGATTAAATAAGCTTAAGACTCTCTGTTGTATTATCTGTCAAATGAGATTGAATGTTTGTTCTCATTCCATTTACTCTAGATGATTTTGGTTTTCCAGTTGACAACTATAATTGCTCAGCGCTTCTTTCTCTAACTAGCATCTCAGATTATTATTGCTAACTTAAACATCTATCTGAGAATTATTCTATTCTGTCTTTAAATTCATTTTACTTTGACATCTCAAAAGCAGACATTGAAATCTAGTCTCTGTTCTATTAAATTTCAATATCATCTATAGGTGAGCTTCCAGATGAATTAAGTAGTGATTAGTCCTTTAAAGTATTACTCTGATACCCACAGTCTTTCATTTGCTATGATTGCTAATTGGTTTAACTGCCAGCAGAGGTATTTTTCCTTTGCACACTTTTGTTATTCATATTCCTAAAACTGACTTGCAACGATTCCTCAACATGAATAGACTAATCCCCGTTCAAATCAGGCATTGGCTACTATTTATTAGCCTAATATATACTCTAGACATGAGCTATAAGATTATCATCGCTTCTTTGCTGCAAGGGCATATCATATCTCTGCATATTATTCTGAAAACTACAGTCAGGCTTAAATCCTTCATAATTAGTTGTGTTTTTCAATTCCCCAGTATTACTATCTCTTGTGGTATTCAGTCTGTCCTATCCTTTGCTTTTAAATTCTTGAAGTGTGTTCAGTATTAGTCCTATAGTCTGTTCTTGCAATAGAATTCCAGATTCATGTTCCCTCAACCTCTATGTCATCTAATCCTGTATTATCTCGATCTTTCTATCTATCATAGTATATTTATTCAGCAAGGGTGCTATCAAATCTACTTCTTTCTTCCTGAATTCCCCTCTTAGCTTGTCCAATTCTTATTCTACTTTGAGTCTTAGTCTTTCGAGACAGTCACATTCTGGTGGCTTTAACTTGAGTAAATCCTGTATCTGAATCATTTACGGCAGATTAAGATTTGATGGCTGCTGTAAATAATTTTACTATTATTAGGAATACTGTTGTTAAGGTACTTGCTATTAGGCCAAAATCTAAGATTACTCTTAAGAAAAATTGCCGCTTGAATTCATTACAACCTGAAGATTGCTTTAATTCATATTCGATTAGTTTTGATGTTAATGATAATGAGACATCTGAGATTGTCTCATATTTGATATTCTATTATTGCTATTTTGACTTTAGAATGAAGAGTTGCTGTTATTTTGATTCCTTTTAGAATCATCTTCCACCATTTCAAGACTAACTTACATAGGCACAAGTTTTGTGAAATTGTTACCACCTGTAGTCTTTGGAACGACTATACCATTATCATTCAAATTTTGGGTAGATTAAAATCCAATCTTATTTCCCAATCTTTGCTAATTCATTAAAGATTATGGGCTCATTAAGTTTCTATCATAGTGAATTTGTGGATTTTAAGTCTGATTCATCTTCTAATCTAAATTCAACTGCGACTTTGTTTGCTTATCATTCCTAATACTATGCTGATTATAAGCAACTATTCCAGAGTGCAATTTCTTTTGCTAGTCACAAGTGAATTTGTTTTAATTTTTGTTAAAACCTTCTAAACCAGTTGCTCCCCCTATATTGCCTTTTTTAAATCTCTCTTCAATCGCTTTAACTGAGATCAGACCAGATTTCTTATCCTTGCTAGTGATTATCTTAAGATCCTATTATTAAGACTATATTTGATTAGTTATTGACTTTGATGTGTTACTAAATTTGGCTGATCCTTGCTCTCCATATTATTGAATTCATCAAGGTCCTCTGAATCTAAACGCTCTAAAGTAATCATGTTAGACATTTTTAACTAGATAATTAGCTGATATAATAAGTTTATTGATTGTTGATAAATTCGAAGTCAGAAATTAAATCAATTTTCAATTTTATCATTATGGGGTTTTGGGGTTTTGGGGTTTTGGGGTTTTGGGGTTTTGG